CTGTCACAGCCCAGTCCTGGAGACTGGCCACCACCACATCATTTCTGACCGCCAGAACCTGCCCTTAGCAGCATTCTGCTGCCTCTTCAGAGATTCGAGAAAAGTGGCCATCATGAGCTAGTCTGAGGGCTCTTAGGAGACCTGTGCTCAAAGATAGAGTGCTCAACCTGGAATCATATGACTCTAGCTTTCAACATAGCCCATCTATGAGGGGGGGTCTTACTTTGCCTGGGCTAGGGGTGATTTGCTCACCTGAAAGACCACTGTTAGATCTAGTGCTCAACCTTTGTGTCTTTTGCCTCTTCTTTATAAACTACAGTTTCTAAGTGGACATTGTACCTGCTGCTCGCACCCAGGAAGCTGCGTCTTGGAAACCTGTACATCATTTTGTTACTGTGATATGCCAGTTTTCTAAAATGTGACTATACACATAACACTGGCAATGTGTAAGATCTATTACATAGCACAAAGCAGGGTACAATGTAGAACTGAGTAACACAGTGATGGACATAAAGGAAAAAAAAAAAATGCCCATCTAGGGGCCAGAGGGGATGGCTCAGTGGGCATAGGCTGGTAGGTTGACAGTGTTGATGACCTGAATTTGATCTTTGGGACCCACATAAAGGTGGAAGAAGAAAACTGAGTCCAATTCCACAGAGTATTAATCTGATCCCCACACACTTGCCTCCCACAGTAGTAGTAGTAGTAATAATAATAATAATAATAATAATAATAATACAATAATGATGGTAAGACATAGGTTCAGTTAGGTGCCTCTAAAGCAGTGGTTCTCAACCTGTGGGTCGTGGCCCCTGTGGGAGGTGATTGCATATCACCACCTCCTGCATATCAGGTATTTACATTATGCTTCATAACAGTAGCAAAATTACAGTTATGAAGTATGAGCAAATAATTTTACAGTAGGAGGGGTCACCAAACATGAGGAACTGTATTAAAGGGCTGAAGCATTAGGAAGGTTGAGAACCACTGCTCTAAAGGGATGGCTCAGTCAAAAAGGAGGGTAGTTCCACTGGAGAGCTCTGCTAGAGAGCACGAGGTGAGCATAAGCAGGGGTAAGGAGCTGACTCCCTGATTGCCCTTTTGCAGGTTGAGTATCTCTTATCCAAAGTGCTTGGTACTGGAAGTGTTCCAAACTGAGGTTTTTTTTTTTTTTTTTTTTGTTAGTACATTTTTTTTTTTTAATTTAAATTAGAAACAATCTTGTTTTACATGTCAATCCCAGTTCCCTCTCCCTCTCCTCTTTCCCTGCCCCCCTCCGGCCCCCTATTTCATCCTCTTTTGCTCCTCAGGGAGGATGAGGCCTTCCATTGGGGAGCTTTAAAGTCTATCGCATCATTTGGAGCAGGGCCTAGGCCCTCCCCCATGTGTCTAGGTATCCCTCTATGTGGGATGGGCTCCCAAAGGTCTTTTTGTACACTAGGGATAAATACTGATCCACTACCAGAGGTCCCATAGACTGCCCTGTCCTCCTAACTGACACCCGTGTTCAGGGAGTCTGATTTCCCATCTATCAGACTGGGGTTCATGAGCTCCCCTTGTTCAGGTCAGCAGTTTCTGTGGGTTTCTCCAGCCTGGTCTTCACCCCTTTGCTTATCACTTCTCCCTCTCTGCAACTGGATTCCAGAAGTTCTGCTCAGTGTTTAGCTGTGGGTGTCTGTTTCTGCTTCCATCAGGTACTGGATGAAGGCAGTTGGCATATAAGGTAGTCATCAACCAGATTGAGGTTTTTAAGTTTATTGATTGAGTATGCTTAATATGAAAATATGATTCTGAGATGATCTAAAAATCAGACATGTTTTGAGTATCTTGTTGGTACTCAGAAAGTTTTGGGGGTGCTGAGGAGATAGCTTAGTGGGTAAGAGAGCTTATTGTATAAGCATGAGTGAAATGGAAAAAAATTAATAAAAATCTAAAAACTTAGACTCCAAAGCCCATATAGGAAAAAGAGAACTTTCAAGTTCTGGCCCAGGAGATATTATTTCCCCTACAATACAGTTATTGTTTCATCCTATGTAACCATGGAAGCTTTATAATCTCAAGACTTTCAGTCTTTTGAACTTTCCCTTAACCATACCCCCCCCCCCAGCTGTAAGCCATATTCCGTTTGCCCCTGAGCCAGTGGAATCCAGGGTACAGCCTACCAACTACCTTGTAGTTGGTGGTGGCTTTTGGGGGTTCTGAGAACTGGGCACAACATGAAGACCTAAGTTCACATCCCCAGCATGATTGTAAAAACTGGACCATGCACTTATAATTTTAGCACATGGGAGGGCAGAGACATGTACTGGGGTTTATTGAGTGCCAGAAAATGGAGATTTCCAGGGACAGCATGTAGCTGGTTTCTCTCCTGCCCACTAGTTCCTGAATAACCACTCTGAATCTTACTATTAATTATAATTGTTTGGCCAATGGCTCAGGCATATTACTTACTAGCTCTCACAATTAAATTAACCCATTTCTACTAATCTGTGTATCGCCACATGACTGTAGTTCATCAGTAATGCTCTGGCATCTTACTCCTCTGGCAGCTACAAAGCATCTCTCTGACTCCGCCTTCTTTCTCTCTGTATCTCTGCTTGGATTTCCTGTCTAGCTATATTCTGCCTGGCTAATGGCCAAATCAGCTTCTTTATTAACCAATGGTAATAAAACATAGTCAAAGCATACAGAGGTTGCATCCCACATCACGGTAAGAGATTCTATCTCAAGGAAATGAGGTGAAGAGCAATAGACAAGACATCACTCCTCTGGCCTTGTCATGGAGCCCACAGATATGTACACTACACACACTGCAAAGAAGAATAGCGAACTTAGGATTTCAAAACATGTCAGGTTTCAGTTTTCAGATGAAGGATGTCCAACCTGCAGTGCTATCCTTATCCTCACTCAATAGCTGAGGCTAGAGAAGCAAGGAGTTCTTCTATTGTCCAAGTGCATAACAAAGTATGATTCATGTCAGAATCCAAAGCCTGGAGAGTTAGCCTTTAACATGTAGTCTCTTCCAACTGTTCTCCAAGTTCTCTCAGCTCCAGTTTCTCCTGGACATTGTATTTCTTATCTTCTCCTGGAAATCTGTTAGAAATGGAAGTTATCCAAATCCTGCCAAACCAGAAACTCCTGGTATAGGGCCAAAAAGCTTGGACTGTCATGGTCCTCATTAGTGACATAAACTCAACCTTGAGTACCATTGCTCTACACTAGCCCCCGACCCTCCTGAAGAAGATGCCCTTGTAATGCAACCCAGAACCCAAGGGAACATCCCAAGATGCTGGCTGTGGATAGATCTCTAACCATGCCACCATCCATCCTGAGCTTCTGTGCTGCCTAGCTCCTCATCAAGAAGGAAGAGAGAGAGAGAGGGGGGGGAGGGAGGGAGGGACAGAGCGAGGGAGGGAGGGAGGGAGAAGGAGAAAGAGAAAGAGAAAGAGAAAGAGAAAGAGAAAGAGAAAGAGAGAAAGAAAGGAGAAAGGCTCCTAATTTTCTCAAGACTTTCTTGATATGGTCTGAATGTTTTGTTTGGTTTTGTTTCTGGTGACCCTGATCTTCCCTTCAATGTTGCCTGTCTGTGCAGTTCAGGGTTCCCCGCTTGCTATTGTTATTATAAAATGGAGCTTGAGGGGAACGTTGGCGGAATCCATGGCAGATGAGGGTGACCCAGGCTGAGGGTATGGAAAAACATGCCAGGCAGACAAAGCTTAAGTGAGAAGTTTTATTCGAAAGGGGAGGGAGGGGGAAGGAAAGAGAAAAGAGGTAAAGAGACACAGAGACAGAGAGAAAACAGAAGAGACAGGCAGTCCTGTCTGCCCCAGGGGAACAGCAGGGAGAGAGAGAGAGAGGGAAATAGAACTTAAGTGGGCAGGGTCTTTCTTTTAAAGGGGTCCTCTGCATCTGCGTGCTGACTAATAGTATTCACGGAGCCCTGGGCTGACCAGGGTACTGCCTGAGTGCATTCTACAGGGGCAGGCCAGCATAATGCCTGAATTCTTACAGCTATATCCTTAGTCATTTATCCATCCACCATCTGTGTGATGGGCATAGTGGCCAGGGTTTGTATTTGAAGAGTGAGAGGCAAACCCAGACATTTTCTCAGAGCTCCCATATGCAATAATTAGGGAGGTACTCTCTGTCCTTAGGGCAGGGCTCTTTGAGGAAGACGTCAGGAGCCCCTTCTATCAGCCTTGCTTATAGGAAACCAGTGGAGCGGGAACAGGAGATATAGAGAGCAACCCAGCCTGAGGGTACCACAGTGTGAGGATCTGGAGGAGGGGTGGTCCCAGCCCTGAAGAATTGGGTTCAGAGTGGCTGAGGCCTGTGTGAAGTGGGGCATGAAGTGACGAGGCAGCTGGGAATGGCAGGTTGACCTACTCACCTTTGGGTCAGGGGATGGAGTTTGAAATTTAGGAAAATGAGAAACCACTTTTTCCTCTTTTCTCTTCTTCCTTCCTTCCTTCCTTCCTTCCTTCCTTCCTTCCTTCCTTCCTTCCTTCCCTCCCTCCTTGAGATGGAGTCTCACTATGTAGACCAGGCTGACCTTGAACTCACAAAGATCCACCGGCCTCTGCATGGTGAGTGCTGGAATGAAAAGGGTACCCGAGCCTGGCCACAAACGGGAAACCACTTTTAGAAGAGAAGGGACAGGGGAAACTGGTTTCGGCAGGATCACTCCACTCTAACCGTGACCTTATTTAAACACAGCTCTTTAATTGTTGTGGTGTGTGTTGTTATTGTTGGATTGGTGTTGGGAGTATTAACGGGGTGAATTCTGGGAGTTTTCCCTCACCCCTTTCCCCTTCCCTTCTCCCCTGGGGTGGGAGGTGTTGGGGGGGCATGGGGCTCAGTAGGTGCCCATGTGTTTGAGCTCCCAGCCAGAGGTGGGCACCAGAGGTGGGTGCTGTGCTGCTTTCGTCCATTTGCATGGCTTTATTACTCAGGAGCAGAAGCAGGTCACCTTTAGCATTGTTTCCTACTCTTGCCTCCAGGGTGTCTGTCCTTGCTGGTCACAGTTCAGCACACAGAGCGCTATGTCACCTTGTTTGCCTCCATCACCCTCAAATGTGACTACACCACCTCTGCTCAGCTCCAGGACGTGGTAGTGACCTGGCGCTTCAAGTCCTTCTGCAAGGACCCCATCTTTGACTACTTCTCTGCCTGTGAGTACCCAGTTTCTTGTTCTGTCCATGGCTCCCAGGCATCTGTCTGTAAGTTACCATCAGGGTCTAGGTTACATATCATAAACTGCCAATATGAGATGAAGCTGCAACGACACCACCCCTTCATTTTTCAGATAAACTGAACCCAAGTTACACAAGAATAGATGGCAAATAGATCGAGGGCAAATAGATGTTCATTTGTTTGCACCATGTTGTTCAAAAAATATGTCAGACAGCTCAGACATGAAAGACCAAGCACTCCTCATTCAAACAAGCCCTGAGCCACGTGGTACCTCAAGTCAGTGGTCATGGTTTGGACGATCCCTGCCCGCGGCCTCACGTTGACTAATGTAGGCGTCTCTGCCTCCACACAGCCTATTTGACCTTAGGCATCTCAATTCGTTGCCATGTGCTGCTCCTTCACCTTAGCCAAGTCCTCTCTTGTGTTAGGAGCTCCTTCCCAGATTCCCATCTCTCAAACTTCTCTAGTATCAGAGGAAGCCGGAGCCCCACAGTCAGCCTGAGGCAATTAGACCCATAGGAAGTTTGAGAGTACCCTCTTTGGGGGAAGGAAGTGGAGTTGAAGCAAAGGGAGGAAGGCTGGGTGCTTCCTGTAGCTCTGGGGCCTATGCTATACAGTAGGACTGGGCAGAGCCTCAAAAATCTCACTGAGCCTCCCCGTTTAGTCTGCATTGTTTCCTTGTGGGATACTCTTAAAACACTTGGGCTAAAAAAAAAAAAAAAAAAAAAAAAAAAAAAAACAAAACCCACCACTTGGGCTAAAACTACTAGGGAGGAGACTATGGGAAGCAGTGGTCACCTGGAAGACTCAGCACCTTTTGAGTTCTCTACTGTGAGGGTTGGGTGAGTGAACCCCCATTGGAGCAGAAAAAAAAAAAAAAAAAAAACAGGGGCAGCCCCACTTTGTAAATGATGCAAGGAAATCGGGAAGAGAAATGGAGAGGCAGACAGGCTTTGGAAGCCATAGCTTTCAAGGGGTTTGGAGTCATTGAGGAAGACTGGAACTCCTGGCATCAGCGGGGACCTGTTAGCCTACTCCAGACCTGAAGAATCTGAATGCTTTGAGTGACTTGGTCCTTTCTTCTTAGCATACCAGGCCGCTTTATCCCTGGGCCAGGACCCTTCCAATGACTGCAGCGACAATCAGAGGGAAGTTCGAATCGTGGCCCAGAGGCGGGGGCAGAGTGAGCCAGTGCTGGGGGTGGATTACCGGCAGCGCAAGATCACCATCCAAAACCGTGAGTGTGAGGGAGGTGGCAGGGGAACTCAGACTTGAAGAGGAGGCAGACACAGGCCTGTTAGGCTGAGTCAGCACGGGATTCCCCAAGACCTCTGGGGCCCGAGGACTGGCTTGGTCACTGGTTTGTTTGAAGCAAGTGCCAGGTTCTTAGAATGAGTTCTGTCTGAAGCCACTTCCCTGGAACTTGGTCTGTGGATGCGAGGGTAGTCCTCAGCCTTGGCTAAAGGTTAGGTGTCACTGGTTCTTTTGCTTCCTGAGACTCAGATGTGACCTCACTACTTTGATGCTTTTTTACAAACCGTGCTCAGGACCCTGAGGTCCCCTGGACCACTCTTGATGCCTATACCAAAAGAAATACCAGCTTGAGGGCAAGTGGATTCTTTGAAATTGTTGCCATTCCTGGCCAGAGGAAGCAGCGGGGCTTGGACACAAGCCTGGGTAGGAGTCACAGTGGTTGTCCTCACAAGCTGGGCTACCAGCAATGGGTTGGCTGCTTTCTCTGCCTCTTCCCTCTCATCTGAGAGACAGACACACACACACACACATGGTGTCTGACCCCCACACTGGGTCCTGGTACAAGAAGCAGCTCTCAAGCGCTGGGCCCACAGCAGGAACTCAGGCATGGTGATTGGTCTCCACTTGAACATGAAACTGAGTAAGCCCTTCAGGTTTTTGTTTGTTTTGCCTCAGTTTCTATTAAGTGGGGCTGGCTGTAGAGCCCATCTCACAGAGGATTGTGACATAGTGTCTGAAAATCACTTACCCAATAGTTGGGATGTTTTTATATAAAAAGGATTGACTAATGCCCCACATCCCTAGCCTGTCATCCTGGACTACTGTGAAGTTGTAATGACAGAACTCAAGGACTATTGCAGTGAGCCTTATATGCTGTGTTTTTTTTTTTTTTTAAATTATTCATGGGAATGAGGAAGGGACTTAGCAGTGAAGAACACTAGCTATTCTTCCAGAGGACCCAGGTTCGATTCCAGCACTTACATGGTGGCTCACAACAGTCTATAACTCTACTTCCAGGGGATCTGACACCCCCTTCTGGCTTACTGGGCACCATACAAATGGAACACACACAAACACACACACATATATAGCAAAATACCTAGATACATGAAAATATATAAATATGCATAAAATAAATAAGCAAACAAAAATTTAAAAATTTAAAAGAAAAAAGTATTTGTGGGGCTGGAGCGCTCAGTGGTTAATAGAACTTGTAAGGGAGAAAACACATAGCAGGCTACTTGTGGCACTCAAACAGTGCAGAGAATTAGTGAATAGTTTATGTCCATCGAAAGGGCCAATTTAACTATTGCTTCTGATATCGAGATCATAATACTTAAATATGATCTTTTTACACTGGTCCTCTGATTTCCCTAAGGCAAGCCTTTGATTCTGAGCCTAGGGACCATCTGTATTTGCCTTAGTCTCTGTGCATCCCCAGAGGGTTAGATGGCTCTACTTCCTCAGAGTTGGCTCAGATCTGACCCCTGGGCTCACATCTTTAATTAGCCTGTCTCCTTTAGAGTTTCTGAAGGATGAGAAGTCCCCGTGGAGAATCTGGAGGCCGTCTCTGATCTTCGTGTGTCTATTCTGAGTAGCTCCTCTCACTATCTCTCCTCCTGACCACTTTCTGGTCATACTCCATCTTGTTCCCACTCCTAAGGGAAAGCAGCATTTCCACTAGCATTTTATTTCTACCTCCAGGCTCATCCTGGCTTCTCAGGATCCTTGTTTTCTGACACTTTCATGTCGGAGTTTCTATTATTTGAGAGAACCCTGTGTCAGCTCTGAATAGACTTACCATGCTGCCATTCCTCAGAAACTCTGCATGACTCCAAGGAAAGTTGGGTCAGGTTTGCTCTGCTCACCGAGCACTTTCATCATTCCTCCGGTTCTGGGGGTGGGGGAAAGTGGTTGGTTTAGAAAACCATGAGGAGAAAAAGCTTTGCAAGGATTGACGTAAAAGAGAAGGAAACAGAAGTCAAGGCTCGCTCCAGTCTTGCATGACCTCACGTTTTTGTTTCAGTTCCTCAGGAGATATTTCTTGACAAAGAGACAATAAAGAAGTCCAGATATGACCACCCGCTGTGCAACAGCAAGTCAGTAATACTGGGGCCTGATCTCTCTAGTTTCTGAGATAAGCCATGACTTTGGGGGGCTGCTCTGGGGTTCTGACTGGCTTTTAAACCTGCCAGGACAGAGAGGGACTGGCTCCTCTTGAATCATCCTGCATGTTGTAACAATAATTTGAGCCATTGGGTTTTTGTGAACATTGGTCAAATTTGCTTAACTTGAAAGCACAAGTTTACCATCGGTTGCTCTTAATCCGGTCACAGAGCATCAGTTACTCGCAGAGTACCTGATTCTTTTTTTGGGTAATATTCTGAAAGTGCCCTGCTATTTTCTCCCAAAACTCCAGAAATGGCTTGCTTTGATCTTATGTATTAAGATCAGAAACACACATTCCAGTACCAGGTTGGTGGCTACATTCCATTAAATCCTTGGGGACCCCAAGTTCACTTCGATGTTCCCAGATTGTCATTTTTTTTTCAAGATGTATCAGTCCATTTTTTTTTCTTTTTGTTTCCAAAATGAGAGGCCTGTGGCTGTATAATTTACAAAGAAAAGAGGTTTATTTAGCTCATCACTCTGGATGCTGAAAGTCCAAAAGTATATGGTGCCATTGGTTTGGCTTCATGGAGGCTAGTGGCTGTGTCACCATGGAAACAGTATTATTGTAGAAGTGCTTATAAGAAGAGATCACAGGGGGATACAGGAGACTAAAGCGCAGAAGGACCATTCTTGTTTTTCTGTAACAGCCCCTTCTGTTGTGAGCCATCTGGGGAGATGGAAGAATGACTTTTATCTCCTCCCAGGACAGCTCATTCAAGTGACCTCATTACTGTTTTGATATGCAGCCCTTAACGATTCCACTGCCTTCCAAGAAGGCCACACTGAGACTAAGCTTCTGACACATGACACTTCAGGACACTCTTATATCCGTAGCACCCAGGGAACAAAGCAGAAGAGATGAAGAAGAAAGGAAGACTGTTCACAAGCAATCTTAAAGGTCCTGCCACACTCTCACATACCTTCTGTCAATCAGAACTGAGTCACTCGGAAGAGAGGATGGAAAACTGACTTTATTCTAGGTGGTTCATGACAGTCTTTTTATTCTGCTATTATTATGCTCTGTTTTATTTTATTCCATTCTATTATACTCTTAGTTTTTGTTTTATTGAGACAGGGTTTCACTATGTAGCTCTGGCTGTCCTGGAACTTGCTATGCAGACCTGTAACCAGGTTGGCTCCAACCTACCTACCCATGAGGACAGAACACTCAAGGCTCATTCTGCTTTTTAAAAACTCTCTCTCTCTCTCTCTCTCTCTCTCTCTTCTTCCCTCTTCCCCTCTCTCCCTCCCCCTCCCCTTTCTCAGAAAGTGTTTGATTAAACTTCCAACACACAGTCCATCGAGGTCCTAATCTCTTAATACTAATATAATCACAATTTTATTTCAGCACAACAAACATACTTTTAATTAAACTATAGCAATTGCATGTATACCCAACAGTTCTATGATTCTGAGAGAAGGGAACAACATTAGTGGAAGACAGCAAGGAATCTCCCTCACCCACATATAGGGATATATAGTGGGAATTAAATGAAAATGTGTATTCAGGTCCTTATAAACTACTATCGGGGTTCAAGGGGGGAAGTTCTTCCATAATCCTCATCTTTGGGAACAAAGGAAGGTCTGAGGAAGGATCTGGGACTGTGTTCTCATTAACCAGAGGCCTTCTTAGAAATGACAGTTCTGAGGTCCCGAAGGTACCATGCCCGGTAACTGTTACTTTCCCTCCCTTTCTACACAGGAGCGGACCTTGTGATTAATGAGGTCATGTGGTGGGATCATGGGGTATACTACTGCACCATTGAGGCTCCAGGAGACACATCAGGAGACCCAGATAAGGAGGTGAAGCTCATTGTCCTACGTAAGTGCTGCTGGCATCCTCCATCAGTGTGCATTTATTTTTTCATGCAAAAACATCCACCAATAGCAGCAAAGCCAGAAACAAACAGGTCTGGTTACTGCCATTGGACTGGGAACCTCTACTGGTCTCTTACTAGAACTAACCATTGTTTTTTTTTTTTTTTTTTAACCAGTATATCTCTTGAACTTAATCTCTAGGTCAATGGCTGTTTTTGCTAAGGTCTAGGGCATTGGTTCTCAACCTGCTGGACATGACCCCTCTGGGCTTGAAAGATTCTTTCACCAGGATTGCCTAAGAGTATCAGAAGACACGGATTAGGATTCATAACAGTAGCAAAATTACAGTTACAAAGTAGCATCCAAAATATTTTATGATTGGGGGTGCCATGCCCAGCCTTGGGAAGGGTGAGAACCATTGGTCTAGAATGTTGGAGGAGAGGCATCTCTCTGAAGATTTAGTCCGCCCCCTTTTGGCTTCTTTCCACTGTAGATTGGCTGACAGTGATCTTCATTATCCTTGGAGCCCTCCTCCTTCTGCTGCTGATTGGCGTGTGCTGGTGCCAGTGCTGTCCACAGTGTTGTTGCTGCTACATCCGCTGCCCCTGCTGTCCTACCCGCTGTTGCTGCCCCGAGGAAGGTGAGAGAACACGAGTGGCAGTGGGTTGAGCATGGTGATACAAGTGCCCGATGTCCCAAGCTTTACCTTGCTCTGGTCAAAGTTTCTGATGGTTCCGGGATCTCCTTCATGCCTTCCTCCTTCACAGGTTCAGAAGACATGAGCCTCAGCCCTGAGACTGAAGTCACAAGGAAGGAGGCAGATAACAGGATTCCCACCTATGGAATTCTATTCTTAGTATGCAGATGGAATCGGGTTGACTTTTAAATGGAATTTTTCTTTTCGTGTATTTGATAACAGGATTCCCACCTATGGAATTCTATTCTTAGTATGCAGATGGAATCGGGTTGACTTTTAAATGGAATTTTTCTTTTCGTGTATTTGAGCAAGTCAACTTTTCTCTCCGGGTCAGAAGTAGAATAGAAAGTTCCAGCTCTCTAGCCATGCCTTGGTCTTTTTGGCAACCTGTTCCAATCCTAAAGCTCTCCAGGAACTCCGGTCATCAGTCATCTAATTAGTACATGGAAGGTACTCATTGTTTTGGAGAGCCCAAGCATTTTAGGCATTGTATTTCAGAAATCAGGGACAGAGACAGAGTATATCTCATATTCTATTATAATTTCACAACTAAGAGATGAGATGAAAACCGCAGGGAGGGCAATAGAGAAAGGTATTAACAACATTAGCTCTTAAACTGAAGCTCACACTGAATCATGTAGAGGGCTTGGTCAAAATTAATTGTTGCTCCCCCTTCTGCTTCCGACCCAATGGGTCTGGGGGAATAGGGCTCTGGAATGTATTTCTAGGCATTCCCAGGTATTGCGGTAAATAAGGATCAGGATAAACAAATAGGCCGAATAGATGTTTATTCAGGGAGAAATAACTTACAACCTAGACAGATGAACACCAGGAAATTCAACCCGATCCTCTCCTGTCCGAGTTGAATAGATGTTTATTCAGGGAGAAATAACTTACAAACTAGACAGATGAACACCAGGAAATTCAACCCGATCCTCTCCTGTCCGAGTCATGCCAGAAAGAGAGAGCCTTTCCTCGCTCCCTCCGACCTCCTTCCACAGGTCACTTCCGCCCATGGCTCCACCCCCCAATGGACGTGGTCAGTGCTACAGAAGGACTATCTCACTACACCCAGGTGATGTTAAGCTTGTGCCAGGGAAGGGGAGAAGGAACAGAGGCTCTTAGCATAAGCTTTCCTTGGACTGAAATTCATCCTTTAAAAGAAAATTTGGACCAGAAAAATAGCTTAGTGGGTAAGGTGCTGGCTACCAAGCCTGACTCCTTGAGTCCCATACCAGAGACTCACATGGTGGAAAAACAGAACTGGATTTGTTGATTTTCACATGTGTGCCATGTCTCATACATGCCTGCACACACACACACACACACACACACACACACACACACACTCTCTCTCTCTCTCTCTCCAACACACACACACACCATACTCCCCAACACCACACATACAACCACACCACACACCACACACACACAGAGAGAGAGAGAGACAGAGAGAGAGAGAGAAAGAGAGAGACTATAACATGCCCTAGAATTTTAAGTTGCAGAATAGATGATAAAGACAAAAGAATTTAAAGAATGTTCTATAAAGTGCTTTCCTTAGGAAGGGATAGGAGTTGAATCAACTATTTTAACTGGAAGTTTTTCTTTTCCTGTGCTTATTTTAAGTAACAGTTCCTTTTCCTGTAAAGTACCACATGGTAGAAAATCTGAGAAATTAAAAAAAAAAAAAAGTAACCTAAGCCAACTCCCCAGAGACAACCACCCTTGTCATCATGGTTCATGGGGAAGAAGAAAGTTTGAAAGGAAAACATGATAATTACTCATGATGACATACACCCAACTTAATCTGTGATGTCAAGGTCAGTGATCTGAGTCTGGTTTCAGGGTTGTGTTCAGAGGTTGCCTGGCATCTTACAGGAAAAGAGAAATAGCTTTCATTGGGTGTCTGCTCTGTGTGTGCCCTTTGTATGGACTTCCTCATGGAATCCTCACCACAGCCTGCCACAGGCATATGCCATCACCATTACAGGCAAGGTCAGAGAAGTCTCACAGCTAGGAAGCAGCAGTCACTTGCATAGTGTTAAGTCTCTGATTTGTGTCTGTGTGTCCCATGTAGAGGCTGCCACAGCCTCTGTGGACCAGATGAGGTTAAATAAATTCTTTGAAGAGGAGGAAATAGCAAAGGACTCAATCTGAGTCTATGGAGCTTCCTACTTTTCAGCCTTTGGGACAGAAGCCATGGAGAAGTCACTGTCATGGGAGTAGTCACATGTGAGATGAGATAAGTCCTCACAGGATGACTCCGTAGATCACAGGGCATTGAAAGCAAGCAGGACTGGGGGCAATGCTGGTGTGGATGGCACGCAGTCAGTGAGCAAAGGTTTGATTTCTCTTCAGTGGCTGGAGTTTGCTCATTTAAAAACTGATGAAATGAAGGACTGCAGGCCATAAGTTAAGTGTGTTGATTTTAACTTTGCTCACAAGTTTGGCAACAAGATGAATGGCAGAGAGGGGCAGGAATGGTTAAGGAAAGCTCTTGGAAAGGGGGAGAGAGTCTGATGCTACTTTGTTTTTTTAGTACATCCAGATAATCCACCTGACATTGGTAAACAACCCTCACAGGACTTAGAAATGGAAGTTTTTGAAATTGAGCCTTTTTTTTTCTGCAAGAGCTAGAGGAACTTCTTTTATTTCTGAGTTATTGGCCTCTCCTCCCCATACATACTCTCTCTCTCTCTCTCTCTCTCTCTCTCTCTCTCCCTCCCTCTCTTCCTTCCTCCCTCCCTCGCTCTTTCCCTCCTCCTCCCCCCTCTCATATATCAGGTGAGAGTGAGGCCTGGAGAGCTTTCTCCAGCTACATAGGCCTTAGCGATCTAGAACCATCGCTGCCGGTTCTCTGTGAAGGCTACTTGCTGCCCTTAGCAAAGAAGATGAAATCTGCTGGAAACTCATGGGGACCTGAGCAGTGGGGTGCCCTGGAGGGGAGGACAGGCATGAATGATAGAAAGGTTTTCCAATGGTGCCCATCCTGAGGGGGCTGTTTGAGGTCCCATTGCTTGGCTGAGGCCAGGAAGCCTCTGCTGGTAGTTCCCTGAGACTAAAATGAGTATGGCATTCCCAGAAGCTGCTGGGGGTGTTGATGAGATGACCAGCCAGTTAGAAAAAGCAAAAGGCAGGGTGGCTTTCGGGTAAAAGGAGGATAGAGAACAGGCAGGCTTCTGTAAAAGTGAAGAGGCGGTGGTAAGAATGGTAATCAGTCATGGGCAAGAGAAGTTATCTCCGGGGACATGGCAGTGGGGAGATGGGAAGGGGGTAGTGATTTCAGAGGACAGTGAAGTGTTGTCCCTTCTGTCCCTAGTAGATGCCTTAAACATTATGTCCTGGCTCATCTCTCAAAGATTAGTGCTGCTTAGACTCCATATGTGTGTTTGTTTCTCCTAGAGCTAAAACAAAAGAAGCAATGTTATGATAACAATGATAGTCTCTATCTACTGCCTTACCTTTTAGACATGCCATGTTTTGCCTCATTTAATGGCAGCAACTCTGTGAAAGACCTATTATGTCTAGCCCAGAGACTCTGAAAACCCCAGCTAGAACAGTCTGGCTCTCAAGATATTTATTTAAAGAAGCCTAACCATGTGGTCCCATTCCCCAGTTTTCTTGAGTCCTCAGTAGTCATCTCCAAGCTGAAAGAAACCATATCATACTCTTAGGTGTATCATACCACATCATACTGCAGGTCACTATGAGACATTGAGTAGGAATGCAACTTCTGTGATCTCAACTTCATCTTATGTTTCCCACATTAAAAGATATCTCAAGGCCAGCCAGGCCTGGTGGCTCATGCCTGTAGTCTCGGTACTCAGGAGGTAAGGCAGGAAAATCTTTAAGTTTGTAGCCTGGGCTATAAGAGTGAGACCCTATTTCAAAAGACAGGGGCTATGCAAGTCCTCTGTTGGTTCAGAGTCCATGAGCTCCCAAGAACTCAGGTCAACTGTTTCTATGGGTTCCTCCATCATAACTTGACCTCCCTGGCTTGTACAATCCCTCCTCTCTTTCTTCAGGAAGACTCCCAGCCCAAGGCTTGTCTATGGATTTTTACACTGCTTCCATCAGTTACTGGATAGAGTATCTCTGATGACAATTAGGATAGTCACCAATCTGACTACAGTAGATGGCCAGTTCAGTCACCATCTCCACTATTGCTAGGAGTCTTAGCTGTGGTCATCCTTGTGGATTTCTTGGAGATTCCCTGGTGCCAAGTTTCTCCCTAACCACAGTAGCCTGCATGGGACCAACTTAGGTCCTCTGCATGTGTGTGTGACAGTTGTGTAGCTTGGTCTGTTTGTAAAACTCCTAACAATGAGATCAGAATCTGTCCCTGGCACTTAGGGGACTTTTGGGAACCTGTTCCCTATGTTGGATTACCTTGCTCAGCCTTTATGCAGGGGTTGAGGGAGGAGGGAAGCTTGCTCCTACCTCAACTTGATGTGCCGTGCTTTGTTTAAGCCCCCTGAGAGGCCTGCCCTTTTCTGAATGGAGACAGAGGAGGAGTGGATGGGGAGGGAGTAAATGGGAGTCCAGGGAAGGGAATGGGAGGAGAGAAGGAAGGGAAACTGTGGTTGATATATAAAATACACGAAAAAACAATAATACAATTAATTTAAAAAAAATTGATGAAGGAAAAAGCAAAAAACAGGCAAGGAGGGGAGAGAAGGGTTAACTTGCTTACATAAAGTATTCCCTGTGTTGAGGTGGCCAGTACAGAGGCTGCTAAGCTCTTGTCCCTGTTTTCCTTTGAGGCTGGAGAGCTGTGGGTTGGTATTAAGGTGTGGCATCTCTAGGAGCTGTATCAAGCTTGCATTTGATTTCCTCCTGGCTGGGCTGTGACTTGCCAATGGGGCTGGAGCTCTGAACACTTTTTGGGGCACTTTTTGTGGCAACCACTTCCTGTTGTGTTTGAAAATGGCCTCTCAAGGACTTCAGCAAACCTCCCACCCTGTGTAGCTGGGTACAGAATACCTGCCTTCTGCCGTGTTCTTCTGTGCTGGAGGGAGACCAAGGCAGAGCAGGGCTGGTTTACAGCTAACCCTGAAGTCAAAAGGTGAGGCTACCAGGGTGGAGGCCTGTCAGTTTATAGCGGCATGCATCTGCTCCACGCTTGGACAGGCAGAGCCTTAGGAAGTTGAGTGGTAGTTGGCCACGATTACCTCAAAATGGAAACAGAAACAAATAAGTGTTTGTATTTTTAATTGCACTTGCTTCAGACCAGCCACACCTAGGGGACCATCATAGTCCGTTGTGTTGCTTTTCTACACAGTCCTCCAAATAAGGGAATATTTCCCTTCCATTTGCCTGTCCCATCCTTAATTGGGGGAAACCCCAGCAGCTAGTAAAGAAGAATAGAAAGGCTCGGCTACCACTCACTCCAGCTTTATGTATGTGTCCCTGGCCTTCCTGCCACACATTTTCTCTAACCCAGGGCTGGTTTACTGACTGGAAACATGCTTTAGCATCACATCCTTGTCTTGTTCCTCTCAGAACAGATGGCCCTGAGCTTGCCCTGCAGGCTCAAGAGCCCTGATTCATCGCCTCCTCTAAGCTTCTACTATGTGAGACTTCTCTGTGTGGCCCGAAGTGTGATTGACTGCTTAGTATGTGTGCACCTGCCTATGCACTTTAGGTGACTTGGAGAGCAAGTAATTGGAGGGTATGTTTTGAGGCTAGGAAGTTGAGTCTTAAAAGTAGACCTTCCTAGGGAGTGAGAGATGTAGCCTTTAGTACAGGAAATTCCCTTGCTAAAGACCCCAGTCTTTGTTCCCTTAACTCTTGTTTCCATGCAAGACAGGTAAGAATGGGTTCCAAGGCAAGAAGCTGGAATCACAGACCGCGAGTGAGGTGGGAGGCGTGGGACTCTGGCTGGCTAAGGGTCTGTGTTTCTCCTTCTTCCCCTGCAGCCCTGGCCCGCCACCGCTACATGAAGCAGGTTCAGGCCCTAGGTCCTCAGATGATGGAAAAACCCCTGTACTGGGGGGCGGACAGGAGCTCCCAAGTTTCATCTTATGCAATGAACCCGCTGCTGCAGCGAGGTAAACTGCCAGAGAGCCATGGGAGGAAGAGGGCAGAGGGTGAGGGCAGACGTATGGCCCACAGAAGTGCTGCATGACCAATGGGGTGGGAGGGAGTGGAATCCTGCTAAGTGGCATGACTCTTGAATGAGCTGGTTCATACGAGGATGTCTGGGCCCCTCAGTTCAATGTGCTCTGTCCTTGTTTCTATTCAGATCTTTCCTTACGGTCCAGCCTTCCACAGATGCCAATGACTCAGACGGCTGCTCACCCTCCTGTGGCCAATGGTGTTCTGGAATATTTGGAGAAAGAACTGCGGAACTTCAACCCAGCCCAGCCTCCTGACTTCAAAACCAAGTCTGGCTACCCCTGCAGCATGCTGTCCTCCCTGGGCTCTGCGGAGGTTGTGGAACGCAGAGTCATCCACCTGCCCCCGCTGATCAGAGACCCACTGTCCTCCAGGACCAGCAACTCTTCACACCAGCAGCGGCTCAATCCTGCTTCTTCTAGACACTGGGATCTGAGTGAGGGCAGGAGGAAGCGCTATCACACGGATTTCCTCCAAGAGCTTCAGGACCATGGGCTCAGACCCTGGGTCCCAGGGAGAAGGGAGCTGGACCCCCATTGGAGTGGGAGGCACCACCGCTCTAGGCCCAAGGAGTCCTCCATGCCCTGGTCAGACTGGGACAGCCTGAGCGAAGGCCCTTCATCCAGTGAGGGCCCCTGGCCCCCCAGAGGCCCAGAGCGCAGGGAAGGTGCCCAAAGACATGGGAGACGCAGGCACCGCAGCTACTCGCCTCCTTTGCCCTCTGGCCCCAGTTCTTGGAGCTCTGAAGAGGAGAAAGAGTCACTGCCCAGGAATTGGGGTGCCCAGCGCCGCCACAGCCACCACCGCCGTTCACAGTCCCCAAACTGGCCTGAGGAGAAGCCACCCAGCTACCGTTCACTGGATGTCACTCCAGGCAAGAACAACAGGAAAAAAGGGAGTGTGGAGAGGCACTTGGTGAGCCTGGGGCATCCTGCGGAGGGTCGGGCATGGGCAGTGGCCCTCAGCCAGTGGTCTCGGCTACAGCTGACACAGGCCCAGCAGAGTCCTAGTTCTGCATAATGGTCTGGACAGGCTAGGGCACTGCCTGTTCTTGGAAGGAAAGGGCTGAGACAGTGCAGGGTGCAGAAAAGGCCCAGGGCTTGCAAAGGGCCTGCTTTACCTCCGTGTCCATCCAGCCATCCTCTCTGCCCCTGGAGACCGGTCAGGTGGGTTCTACTGATATGCAGATGAGGAGATGAGGTTCAGAATGACCTCGGGTCCCAGCTGCCCCCTTGACTTTATTCCCACAGCCCTTGTTAGAAATGGGCAGGGCTGTGGGGTTTAAGAGAACAGCAACTGTGCTGTGTGTGTGAGGATGAGATCTTCCCAGATACCCTGGGAAGGGTCACCAGACTGATGAAAACCATGCCTGGCATCCCACTCAGGAGTAAAACTTTAGAATGCCGTGAACACTGAAGGTCCCAGTCACTGTTTGGCAGTCTAAGGAGTAAACCCAGGGAGACACATCATATCCTGGCCTCTGGATTTTTTTTTTTTTTTAAGAGGCATGATTTTAAAGCCAGGTGTGGTAGTGTACATCTTTAATCCCAGTCTGTAATCCCAGCATTCAGGAGGCTGAGGCAGGAAAACTGCCACAAGTTCGAGGCCAACCTGATCTACCGTATGAGACCTGGCCTGGGAATACCACAACATTAAGAAATCATTTTACAATTAACCCATCCAAATGCCAGCTGATAGTTTATGAGAACATTCTGCCATTGCTCAAGTATGAATGAACTACTTACTCGGAGGCAACTTACAGGCTGCCCATGAATAGCTCTTCTCAGACCAAAACCTTTTCTTCATTTCTTCTGCTGAGACAGGCAGGTCTTTGGAAACTCTGAGGGGAAAGTCCCAGAGGAAGGGCATAATCTAAGAACAGCAGTCTCTTAAGGGCTTTGAAGGATATGCTTACACACACACACACACACACACACACACACACACACACACACACACAGACACTTTTAGTCAAACACACGTGTGTGAAGGCGTGAGCTCCTCAGGGGAGGTGCAGGGTGTTTCTCTAGGGCCAGGCGAGGTGAAGAGTGGCACAGGGCAGGCAGAGAAGCCCAGTGGGTATATCTGAAATCATCAACGGCATGGGTGTCATCTCACCCATGTCCCCTGGGCACTGAGATTTGCAGTAGGGGCAGCAGCTACCACCAGCCCTAGGCACTGAGCTGTGTGAATTTGCATGTGTTGTGTACTCCACACAGCAGCCCTGTACTGTGAGAGGCTTTGAGTTAAGAATGTGTGTGCCAATGGCCCTCTGCCCTACGCTTGTCCCTCACACATCTCTTTGACTGTCTCAGCAGAAGCGTAAGGAGTGACCTCAGCTACACATGATACAGTTGCTTCTCTGTGATATGATCAATAGAATGGAACTTGGAAGAAAGTACAGAATCAGTTAAAGCTGGAATGTCTAGAACCATGTGGTGATCTTTCAAATATAGTGCCTAAATATGCCTCTTCCTTTTAGTAGAAAGATGTGATTTTCAAGTTTTGGCTCTAAGGTCTGAGCCTTAGTTTTTTTTTCTAAGTTACTTTTTGTCCTTTCTTTATTTTCCTCCAGTTGAACCCTAGAATCTAACAGAATGTTCTAGACACTAGAGCCTCTCCTGATTCATTTAGTTCTCACAAGGTTCAGAAAGGCAGAGTAACAAGGGCAAAGCACATAGCCTATAGAGCATGAAGCCTGACTTTGAACATAGCCCTGACGTCTCAAGCTTTTTCAATGACTTACACGGGTTCCTCAAACAGAAGATGATTATTGAGATCCACAATGCTTTCTAGCAACTATGGCTCTCCGTTTTCTCCAAGTATCAATACTTCTTTTTTTTTTTAAAGTCATCAGGATGTGCATAAGAAGTAATTTTACCACAATTTTATAAAGTTATCTTTGAAAAGCAAAGATTTTTGTCTAAATTAATTTTAAAATCCTCCATTGATTGGGGTCTGAGATTGTTTTCTAGAAATATCACTTAATTGCATTTAAGCCTCTATTTATATTCTGACAGTGACTAGAGGTCCAGGACCAAAGCTTGACTCTACAGATTAGTTCATTTAAAGATTACAGTTTGTTGTTGTTGTAGCTTTATGGGGAAGGAGACTCTCTGTGCCATCGCTCCATGCTTCCTACCCAAGTTTCTGAAGGCCCTGGAATTTGCCACTTTCAATAGTGTGCACAGTTAGGCCACTAGATGGTGACTTTTGATCAAGTGTGACTTGAAGTTTATTCCTTGCATTAAAAGTATGTTATCACTGTTAAGTCAGGCTTTAACACTGGCAGGTTTACAATAACTTTTAATAAAATGTCCATTAAAATCCTTCACCAAATACGCAGAGAAACAGGAAATAAATATTTTTAGGCTCATATAGCAACTTCTTTCTCCAGAGTAATGTTTAATAAATATACACAAGCAAGAGCTTCTGTTCATGTAATGTCCTGGCAATCTAAATAGGCGAGACGTACTGTCTGCTCAGTGCCCAGGAAAACACTAACCTTCTGCTGTGAGAACACCCACTGAATGTGACTCCAGCCGAGCTCTCACTCCCTGGTGGCCTTTACACTCAGTCAAAATGAAGCAGGAACTTCAAGCTTTCCACTCCAGTGGCTTCTGAGTGAATGAGCCCTGTGTTCTTAGCCTCCTTCAGACTATCTTTCTTTCCAATCTTGCCCTAATAAAACGAGTTCCAAGAGCTTCTGGCATCTTTAAAACTTGGCCCACATATATTTGTTTTAGTAAAGAGAAAGCCATAGTGTTTGTTTCTGGGCTAACCTGTACTGCTTTGTAGTGAATACCAGGAATTATATTTTTGCCTTAAATTCTTTATTAGTTAAAAAAAATGCTATATTGGGATTTGCAATCTTCTACTTTGATCATGATCCCTGATCATGCCAAGGTCTTCCTGGAAGAGGTCCTGTTGGTTCTTTTCAGTGTTGTCTTCTGTGTCAGAGTATTCACTTCAGAGTACTCAGATTGGAAACCTTGGCCCTTACAACTCACTCTCCCATTAAGGAGAAACAGATTTTTGAAGCAATATGATGCACATACCTATGGAGGATCTCTAGGACTGCTCATTACAAAACAGGTGTCTTTCATTTTCAAATGAGATGAGGATGGTTCCATTCCTGAGCTCCAGCTGTAGATTTCCAAAGATGTAATGAAGTTATCCCCCTCCCCAAAATGCACGGAGAGGCTTGAGAATCATAAACCATAATTCTTGCCTTGTCAAGTGAGGAAAACAGACAAACAAAACAAGAAATAAACCCACAAATAACAAGAGGTCTTTGAAGAAAAGCTATTGAGTTGTTAAGGAAAAGTCTGAAAAATTACTTAAGAGGAATGCTAGTATCAAGCTGAATGAAAGGGTTGGGGAGCCATGGTTCATTATAAACAGGGAGCAGAGCTGCCTTCAAGTTAAGCCGAGAAATGAGCTAGTAAGTGGAAAGCGTGGAAAGCAGGCCTTTTCTTCCATCTACTGAAGTTTTGAGGATATTACAAAAACAACAGTGAGGGACAGAGTAAATAAGATTAGAAACTTTCAGAAATTGACATTGTTCAAGGAAGGCCATTGAGAGGAAAAAGAATGGCTCTGTGAAAGGTCAAGATATACGTCAGCCACCACTTAGCAGGTTGGACCAGTTCACCTTGGGCATTACATGTATAGTCTGTAGATTGGGCTGACTGTAGTTTTTGTGTTCTTATTCCTCAGGAGAGAGAGAGCTCCCATAGTGGACGGAGTGTGGTCATTTAGTCTCCAGGCACAATGATGCTTCTTGGATCCCACGTGTCCTCAGCACTACTAAGATTGCCAGCTGCCTTGGGAAGAACACTGCACATCTGTGTCTCACAGCTTAAGCATAGATTCTAAGAATCAAATGGAAGAGTTTTCAAAAACAGGAGTTCATATTACATGATCTCTGACTTAAACAGCTAGGATGTGATCCCTTGGGAACATGGTGGCCCAAGTGTTAAGTAGGTTATGGTAGTCAGGATCAAGGCAATCTCATGAAAACAACTCAGGATCTTTAAGAAGAAAGCAAATGTGTTCCAGGAACAGGAAATCTATGGAATATAATGGGTAAATACCCATGGGAACTTCTTGGGGTTTTTCCACGTTCAGTGTCCCCACCTGAGGTCCTGAGCATGCTTGAGTTTCTAGTCCTAGCTCATGTAGAAGTTCCATAGTTCTGTACCTTTCACAGGCTGTGTATTGTAATTCTGGAAAATCACAGGGAAACAGTTTTGCACCAAGCATATTTATTCTTGCTTCCCCCCTCTTCTTACTCCTTTCACCTACACTTAATTTATTTTCTTATATATAATAATGCTAAAATAACTTTCAATACTTTCAAACACCACACAGTTATAAACAAGAAAAATAAATGTAATGGGCTGAAGATTCCATCCCAAGTAAATATGCACTTTTCTACTTTGGGTCTCTATGTTTTCTTATTGATTTAAGCCTCTCCCCCAGCAAATCTCAGAGAAGAATCAGGCCATTGTGAGTAGTTCTGAAGCCGTCATTCTCCTGGGACTACTGAATGTCCCAAGTATTAGCATGTAGGCATTGTTACTCCGAGTCCCAGGAGGAAAAAACTTAGCCCTTCTTGTAATAAGGTCTATCACTGCTTCCTGTGTTCCATATGGTTGCTTCACAGATATATTTATGATTGTCATGTAAGCCTTCTTTGAGTAGATTGGAAGGAGACGGCTCCAATGATGTCGATACTGTACAAAATCAGCAATTCTCGTCTATATAGTTGTGAGCTCATTTTAGAGATAATTGCATCAACCCATTCATTTTTTTCTCCAGACTCATAATTAGAAGTGGGGTGGGGGACGTGCTAAATTACTGTGTTTGGCAGAGGTTATTTTCAGGCTTTTTGAAATCTGAACTTAAATTAGGAAACAAAGAAAGACATAATCGAGACATAAAATTGGGTAAGTTGCACAATTATGGTATGGAAGAGTTGACATAGGTCCACTTTTCAGCCTATTTCCTGGCAAGGTATAATTTTGTAATCAAAATTATTGAAAATAGATTCTCATCTCATATAATACGACCCAAACAGTTTCCTCTCCTTCTACTCCTCCAAACTCCCTCCCAGCTCCTATCTTCCCCATATTCTCTCCCCATCGTATCTCACAACAGAAAACAGCAAGCTATAAGAAAATAACCAAACATGACCAGACAAACACACAGTAAGGTAAAGCAAGGCAAGATTCCTCACCCTGAAGCTGACGAAGGCGACTTAAAAGGAGGAAAAGAGTCCTGAGAGCAGACAAAGGAGTAAAAGACAATCTGTTCCCACCCACAGTCAGGAGTCCCACAAAGTCACCAAGCTAATAGCCTTTCTCTATATGGCCATCCAAACCATGTAGGACATTGGCTCCCTCTCATGGAATGGGCCCCGAGTTAAATCAGGCATTCATTGGCCACTCCTACAAGTTCTGCACTATCATTGTCCCAGCACATCTTGCAAGCAGGACAGATTGTTGGTCAAAAGTTCTGTGGCTGGATTGGTGTCCATGTTTATTTCCATAGCCTGCAGAGTACCTCCTGGTGCCAAAGAGATTAGAAGGCAGGGGTAAAGGCTCCATGCAGGCACCAGCTCAACCTCTCCATGTTCACTGAGCTATGTAGGTTGTCCTTGGCAGTGGGAACCTGCTATCATTTTTCAGTGAGCAACCCTCTCTCCAGCATCAGCCTGGGTTGTTTGGGGATCTCCATGGGATGCCCTTGGCCAACAAATCAACTGAATGAAACCTGTCCCACCCGTGGAAGCCTTGCCTAACTACAAGAGTTGAGACTCTGTATTTCCATTCCTAAGAATCCTCACTAGGGTCACCCTAGTGATTCCAGGAAGTTTCCACTACAGTAGGTTTCCATGTCACCCCCAAATGCCCCTCCAATTCCAGCTGTCTCTCCCAGTAGTCTCTCACTCCTACCTGATTCTTCCTGATTCTGTCTCTATCTGCCCTATAAAATCTATTCTATTTCCCCTTCCCAGGAAGGTCCATGCATCCTCCTAGGTCCTCCTCTTCACCTAACCTCTGGATCTATGAATTATAGCTTGGTTATTACTTAACAGCAATATCCACTTACAAGTGAAAAATACCATGTTTGTCTTTCTGGATTACCTCACTCAGGCTCATTTTTTTTTCTTTTTTCATACATTTGCCTGCAAATTTCCACCATTATCAAGCAGGCTTTATACCATAGATGAAGAGGTTGTTCAATATACAAAAACCAGTAAATGTAATCTACCTTATAAACAATTGAAAGGAAAAAAAAACCCACATGGTTATCTTATTAGATACAAAAAAGGTCTGTCAAAATCCAACACTCCTTTGTGATAACTGTCTTGGAGAGTGTAAAGATTCAAGGGACATACCTAAACAACATAAAGGCAATTTAGAGCAGGCCTATAACCAATATCAAATTAATCAGAGAGAAACTCAGAGCATTTCCAATAAAATCAGGAACAAGAGAAGGCTGTCCACTCTCCATACCTATTCAATATAGTGTTTGAGGTTTTAGCTAGAGCAATAATACAACTAAGTGAAATCAAGCTAAAACAGCAAGACAACTGAAGGAGATCAAAGGGAAAGGAAAAAGGCAAAGTATTGTTATTTGCAGATGATATGATGGAATGCCTAAGTGACCTGAGAAATTCCAGCAGGGAACTCCTACAGCTGCTAAACACTTTCAACAAAATGGTTGGATACAAAAGAGACTGGAACAAATCAGTATCCCTCCTACATATACAGAAATTAGGGAAGCAACACCTTTCACAAAAACTTCAAATAATGTAAAATATCTTGGGGGTAGCTCTAACCATGCAAATGAAAGTCTTCTAAAAACTTCAAGTCTTTGAATAAAGAAATTGAAGAAGATATCAGAAGATGGAAAGATCTGCCATGTTCATGAATTAGTAGGATTAACATAATAAAAATGGCCATTCTACAAGAAGTAATCTACAGATTCAATAAAATTCCCATCAAAATTCTAACACAGTTTGTTACATACCTTGAGAGGACAAATCTCAATTTCATATAGAAAAACAAAGCACACAAGAAAGCTAAAACAATCCTGAACAATAAAACAACTGCTAGAGTTATCTCCATCCCTGACTTTGAAATTTTGAGACAACCTAAAACTCTGAAGGGTACTAGGCTAGGGTATGGGTGGGGCATATTTGAGAACATAGGGCTAGAAGGCTATCATAGAATCAGGACATCTTCATCCCCCAGTCAACAGAAAGTTGTCACAATCATTGATTTTTCATCCTGGGTCTGGTGGGGTTTCTCTGACAAACAAGAGGGCCAATTGGGAGCCCTATTGAAGAAAAGCAACCAAGGGGAGGCCCTCTTATCCCACCCCCCCTTTTCTGAGAAGAGACCTGTCAGGAAAGCCCCATTGCCTCTTGTCCTGCCCAGAGACATGAAGGCTGACTTGTAGAACCAGGAAAACTAACCTTCCAGCTTGGTCCGAGAGGCCATTTTGAGGAACCAAGATTGCCTTCCCATTCACTGGCCCAGACAAACCTGGGTGGCCGGGGACACCATCAAGAGAATTCTCTCACATCTATCCCTCTTAAGAGATATGCAACTCATGACCAGAGAAAATCCTTCCAGTACACACACACACACACACACACACACACACACACACACACACACACACGAGAGAGAGAGAGAGAGGGGGGTGTTAATAAGAGCATATCACATGTAATTCTAAATTTGACAACTTAGATGAAGTACACCAATGCCTTGAGAAATACAACATACAACTCCCAAGATAAAATATATAGAGAGCATTAAAAAGAATAAAGTTTTTATTGAAGCACTCCCCCAAATAACATCTCCAGACCCCAATGGTCTCACTGAAGAATTCTGCTAAATCTTTGAGAGAAGGAGTTGACAGCAAGCTTCTTCAATCACTTCCAAAACCAGAAGAGCAGGTAAAGACCCTCACCTCAACAACAGTTCAGAACAGAGCCAGAAAAATTCATAATAAGGCAGCAACCTCTTTCCTGAACTTGTTTGTAAATTCTTTTATGGATAAATTGGTGATTGAGCTAATGCTTGAGACAGGGTCTTGCTATGTAGGCCAGCCTCTTATTGATGACCCTCCTGCTTTCTCCTCCTGAATGCTGAGATGACAGGTATGTAGTCACCAAGCCCAATCTCATGCATTTATTGTCTGCTTGTACTTTCCCATTTGAGAACTCCATGCTCATTTCCCCAATCGTTGATTGGACTGTTTGTTCTTTTATGTTTAACTTTTTGAGTTCTTTATGTATTCTGCACAATAATCTATCAGGAAATAGTTGGTAAACATTTTCTCCCATTCCACAGGCTGTCTATTGTTGTGGAATATTCTTTTAAGGTATATTACATTTCTTCATACTGTTTTTGTTTGCAATGTAAAAACATGTTCAGTTGTTTGATGAAGTAAAATTAACCTGTGGTCAGGAGATGGAGTCAGAAATCAGCTGACAGGAAGTGGTAGGGAGGATCCAGGGGTAGCCAGTGCTCTTAAGTGGGAGCAGTGAGCTACTTGCCATTCAGGCTCTCTGAGCTAGCAGAATTTCACCTCAACCTTTGAATCCTGAGTTCTGTAGAGGAGTAGAGATCTAGACAGTTTCCCTTAGTGGCTCTGAGAGCGTGAGGGGACAGAATTCCTGGCAGCTGTGGCCCTTATGAACTGATGCTGTTAGCAGTGGAGTTACAGTTGCCAAACAGCACAGCAATTGCTTAAGGGGCAGCCACCCACTAGGTGAAGAACAACAGTCCGTTCTCATTGTTAACTATTGCCTTTGCTGGGAAGGAATTTTACATTTCATGTGGTCCCACATGTCAATTCTTGCTGATATGTCCTGGGCTATAGTGTTATTTTAAGGAAGTCCTTGCCTAGGTTTATAGCTTGCCTATGCTTTTGTCGAAGTTTCAGGTCTAACATCTAACATTGAGGTCTTTGATCCATTGTGAATTGATTTTCTACAGCTTTATTCTCCTACATGTGGACCCGGGAATGGGAGAGTTAAGTAGGGGATGGACTCCAGAGATGTTGGAAGCAGGGAATGAAAAGTAGGTATGATCAAGATAAAAAAAAAATACATTTATATGTGAAGGGGTAAAAGGCTATCTTTTCTTGAACATACATATTTGGCTCTTTTGTTGAGAAGCAGTTGACAATAGCTGTGTGAGTTTATATCTGTATGTCGGTAGTGTTGTATTTTATTCCATTGGGCCAATTTCTGATTTTGTTACTATGGCTCAGTAGTGTAATTTGTGACAGCCCCAATATTGCCCTTTTTGCTCAGGATTGCTTAAGTGATTCATAATCTCTTGTGCTTCCATGTGAATTTAAAAATATTTTTCTATTTCTGTGAAAATACCCTTAGTATTTTAG